CTCCAGTCTGGGTGACAGAGTGAAACTCCAACTCAAAAAAAAAAAAAAGATCAGGTCTCACTTTTTTGCCCAGGCTGGTCTTGAACACCTGAGATCAAGCAATCCTTCTGCTTTGGCCTCTCAAAGTGCTGGGATTACAGGCATGAACCACTGTGCCTGGCCTATGGTGGTTTCTTGATTGAGTAACTTTAGACATTTTCTATCATCTCCCTACTATGATAAGTGAGGATATAGCTCATCCACATTACTACCTATTGCAATAGAATTCTATCATAATTCTTAGTTCCTCTTTTGGCTCTTTTACAATTTTCTTTTTTTTTTTGAGTTGGAGTCTCACTCCGTCACCCAGACTGGAGTGCAGTGGCCGCTCCTGGCCACCGCAGCCTCGACCTGCTGGGTTCCGGCGATCCTTCCTCCTCAGCCTTCCGAGTAGCCGGAACTACAGGCGCGCACTACCACACCCAGCTGATTTTTGATTTATTGTAGAGATGAGGTCTTGCCAAGTTGCCCAGGAGGGTCTCGAACCCGCGGGCTCAGGCAATCCACTCACCTCAGCCTCCCAAGGTGCGGGATTACAGGCTGAGCCACCGAGCCCGGCTATAATTTTTTTTTGAGACAGGGTCTCACTCCGTCACCCAGGCTGGAGTGCAGTGGTGCAGTCATAGCTCACTGAAGCCACAAACTCCTGGTCTCAAGTGATCTTCCTGCTTCCTGCTTCTTTGCCTCCCAAAGTGCTTGAACATGGCTCACCACATCTCATTTGGAACTAAAAACATGCATTATCACACTCGGCAAGTTTTAAAAAATTTTTTGTGGAGATGAGGTCTCACTATGTCACCTAGGCTGGTCTCAAACTCCTGGGCTCAAGCAATTCTCCCGTCTCAACCTTCCAAAGTGCTGAGATTATAGGAGTGAACCACCCAGCCTGGCCCTAAGGATCTATGTGTCAGTGTGCTGGATACTCAGTTAACCCTTTCCTATAAAGACTGAAAAGTTATCTTGCATTATTTCTATGATAATTTCCTTCCCTCTTTTTCCTCCATTCTTTCTCTGGAAGTTCCACTACTCAGAGTTTAGAATCTCTTCTATTGATCCTTTTATCTTTTCTCTCATATTTCCTATGTTTTTATTTTTGGAGTTAAGTTTTGTTTTATTTTATTTATTTATTCTTTGAGTTGGAATCTCACTCTGTCACCCAGGCTGGAGTAAAGTGGCATGCGCCTCAGGGCCACTGCAGCCTCAATCTGCTGGGCTCAGGCAATCCTTCTGCCTCAGCCTTCCAAATAGCTAGAGCCACAGGTGTGCACTACCACACCCAGATAATTTTTTAATTTACTGTAGAGACGAGGTCTTGCCAAGTTACTCAGGCTGGTCTCAAACCTGTGGGCTCAGGCAATCCTCTCACCTCTGCCTCTCAAAGTGCTGGGATTCCAGGCATGTGCCATCATGCCCGACGGGAGTTAAGTTTTTTATATATATATATATATTTTTTTTTTTTTTTTTTTTTTTTTTTTTTTTGAGTCGGAGTCTCACTCTGTCGCCCAGACTGGAGAGCAGTGGCCGCTCCCGGCCACCGCAGCCTCGACCTGCTAGGCTCCGGCGATCCTTCCGCCTCAGCCTTCCGAGTAGCCGGAATTACAGGTGCGCACTACCACGCCTGGCTGATTTTTTGATTTTATTGTAGAGATGAGGTCTCGCCGCCCAGGCGGGTCTCGAACCCGTGGGTTCAGGCAATCCACTCACCTCAGCCTCG